TATATATAATACCTTGATTTAGTAGTTTTTACAATAACGCATGAATGTTACCGATGGTTGTTACAATATTGAATTCAAATGCTCTATAAATGGAAAAATAAACGGCTCTAGTGATCTATTAAGAACATACGTGTCTAGTTATTTAATTTTATTTGATTTATTTTCTGATTTATGGTTGGTTCATAAATTGTTGATAAAGAATAAACTATGAAACAAAGATTTATTAGCTTGGGAATTAAATTACCGCAAACGTAATTCAAAAGATTAGCTATCCGAAAAAGTTTCGGCGGTTTTTGAGGAAATTCATAACAGCTAGAAAACCGCCATCTTTCTTGGTCATCTAATAATAAGAGTTTGATCTTTCGTAAAATTTCTAGGCGAACGCGGAAAACGTGTAAACGTAAAAACGAGACAAAGAATAAGTAAATCTCGCAAAAGATTAAGTTTTAGACCTTCTATTGAACGGTAATGTAGTTGTCAAACAAACGCAAAACTCGAAGAGCCTAATGATTATGCTTGCACAGTCCCTACTTATCGACGTTACTCGTTTCGTAGTAGAATGAGCTCACTGGCCTGAATTTTCAATCTTTTTTCGTGCTCCTTTCTTATCTTCACGCAAAGGCTCTATCTTGTGAGTACCAAGCGACACAATGCACCAATATATACAATAACAATTCCAACAATGGTCGGTAACAATTCGTTGTTGTGGCTAATCGTGTCTTTTCTTTCTCGGAATTCTTCAAGTGAGTCGACGTAAAGTACTTGTTTAAAAATATTCACGACGAACATTAGAACAAAGATACTGATTTTATTAGGATTTGTGATTGCGTTTAAGCAAATTGTTAAATAAGACGCCATTTATATTTAATTCACTCCTAGAGATCTATGTAATTATTACGAGGATTCATGAATGTATCCCACACCATTACAATAATTAAGAATGGAAATTGAAAATGGCTTGATCATAAGATCAAATTGAGAATGGAAATTATTTCTCATCGTAATAATTGTAAATGGTGATATCGGGACGGGAATTGATCAACGGGAAAGGTAATCGCTGTGTTGTTTGAAAAACATCGTCATTGACTGATGTTAGAATTCATGGATAAATAATCGAGCCAATTTTGTCAAACAATCATTCTGTTCAATTAATTTTTCCTCTGCTATTAATAGCAGAAGACAAGTCCTGGTCTGGTGGAAAATTATACAGCTCATTTCAAAATTGCAACGAACGCACTTTGCAGTCGGAAAATCACGTACGTTCTATCATTAGGTGAAAAGAATATTCGTACTCTGAATCTTCATTTCAGAAAATTCAGTTTAATATTTATTAATTAATAGGGAAGCATTATGAAAGGGCCATTCTATATATATAAAACGTCTTAACATTTATCAAACTTTTCTCCAAATTGGGTCCATCGAATCATTCGAAACTTCAGCACGTGATTATAAAGACCTTAAGGAAGAACCCAATGATTGTGAAACTTCATTTTTCAAACAACATTTTTACTTACTAATTCCAGAAGTTTCAAATGATTCTGTGCACCTAGTTTGGAGAAAAGTTTTATAAACATTTTAACGTTTTGATATACTTAGAATGAGTTTTTCATAACACCATAACGCGCTCCAAATTGATAATTTCGAGGCACCGCAGAGGGATCGGACTAAAATTTCCGGAAAAAATCATTTGAAACTTCATCACGTGATCGTAGAGATCTTAACCCTTTGGCTAGTAAGAGCGCCTAAAGGCGCCCGACGTTTGGTCCAATATTGCCTGCACGGTCAGACGAATTTCGCCCATATGTCAAAATGGCTCCGTGTTCAATGGGTTAAGGAAGAACGCGATGATTGTGAAACTTCATTTTTCAAACAACATTTTTACTTACTAATCCCAGAAATTTCAAATGATTGGATGCACCCAGTTTGGAGAAAAGTTTTGTAAATTTTTTAACGTTTTGATATATTTAGAATGAGTTTTTCATAACACCTTAACGCGCACCAAATTGATAATTTCGAGGCACCGCACAGGGATCGAACAAAAATTTCCGGAAAGACGGTACTTTTAATAAGCACATCTCTCACGTTACGCAATACAGGCTGTGCATTGATGCATCCCGTCGGATGTATGCTATTTTGCAATCACGAATAGAGCAATGTTTATAACGAGGGAGTTGGAGGGTCCGCGGATCCTGCGGCTGTACTCGCTTATTAACTCGCGTTTCGTAATCCATGGAAAAAGACTTTAGTTAACATCTTCTTCCTCGCTAACTTCCTCTCCATCTACCACCGGTTTCCGAGGAATACTCGAGAAAACGTGGCCATTCTCGTAAAAGGCCGGAAGCGCTAAATTCTAAACGGCAAACTTCGTCAGACTGGCGGCAAAGGAAATCTCTTCAAAAAACACCTACGGTGTAAAAAAAAACTTTGCCAAATACATTTTTATTTCCGACTTCAATTACAAAAATAGCNTAACGTATTCGGCAGATAATATTTAAAAAATCCTTGTATTAAAATGAAACGAAAAGTTTTTTATATCTGGTAGAAAAATATTATGAAAACACGAAGCTAATATTATATAAACATTATAGGGATCATATTCTAAAGTAAACGTTTTGCAAGCATTTCAAATGTTAGCTAAATATTTACAAAATGTACGGTATTCGTTAAATATACAGAAAATATAGGAGAAATATTTTATGCTAGTAGGGCTTCTTTTATAAGCATCCTTTATTTTCGTTCATCGATTTAGGAGGATGCAGATACTAAATATTGAAAAGCGGCCGTGTGCGGATGGGCCCCTGGACATTTATTGTTAGGAACGGGCCCGAAATATAACAGTGCCCTTGAAAAGTCATCCCGAACACGCGGACAATAAATGGCTGGTCATTTTTGCGATAGCCGCAGGATTTGCCATGTCGGACGATCGGAAGGCTGTCCATTTTTGCGCTCGTAATTTCAATTAGCGACAGTCCGTCACAACAAGGTCAGCCAATTGTGTTCACTGTCAAAAACAAATTATCCCCTCGTCGGGACGTTTTTCATGGAAAATTGCAGATCTTTCATCCATTCATTGCGGATTCGTACAGGTACCCTGGTAGGATATAACTATCGTTTCCTCTTTTGCAAATCGTGCCGTGGAAATAAACTCTTACGATTAATCAAAGTACAACACCTGCTACTCGAAAGAAATAATAAAATTCGTAATATTAATTCATTTATGATGCTGACCATTAAAAATTGACTGCCTAAATAAACATAAATTCACTTCTTGCAACGGAATCCATGCAAGCTTAATTCTCCTCGTGATTAAAAAACGATTTATCATGTATAGAAAAAAATTTTTTGACCGGTAGAACAGTTTACAAAATTCATTTAAACACGTTAATTTAGTTGTATAGAATTCTGTCGCACAACGGTTACCAGGTCTTAAGGTGAAGTGAAACACGTCGAAGAACTTGATCGACATCGATGAAGAAGATTTTTCTAAATACCTACGTTGCCGACGTTCGTTTTTATATTGACAGCTGTGTCGAATTATATTGGGTATTGTACCAAATGGAATACTCCACCTGTCGTTTTCGTACAATAATTATAAAGAGATCGAAGTAAAACTCCAGAAATCCTCTGGATTCGTGCTTTCTGGGGCACTAATTGACTGCAGAGGACCCCCTGCGCCATCTGCGATTTCCAGGTCAATTAAATTTTCACTCCGAAACCTCGTATTACCATCCTTTTAGCATAGAAGCGCATACAACACTTTCTTCGCCTTTATCCCGTTCAAATGCGAGTTTATCGACTACCAGAGTGTTCTAAATTGTCGGAAAATGGTCCTGACCCTTTTTTTTCTCATATCGGAGCCTTCGATAATTGTATATTGATCGAAATATGAGAGCTCGACGCCATTTTGATTCTGGTCTGGGCGGAGTTAAGAAATTAAAAAAAAAATCCAAATTTTGAATGTGTCAGGACAATTCTTAGATGATCAGGAGTGACGTGTCAAAGTTTAGGACAGTTTGGTCTAATACCCTTAAAAAAAAGTGTTGTATTCGAATCGACTGATTTGAAGGAGGTTTCACTTCACCTTAGGGGAAGTGAAACACGTCGAGGAACTTGATCGTCATCGATGAAGAAGATTTTTCTAAATTCCTACGTTGCCGACGTTCGTTTTTATATTGGCAGCTGTATAGAATTATATTGGGTATTGTATTAAGTGGCATACTCCACCTGTCGATTAAGTACAATAATTATAAAGAAATCGAAGTAACATTCCAGAAATCCTCTGGATGCATCTTTCTGGGGCCCTAATTGACCGCAGAGGGACACCCTACGTCATCTGTGATTTCTAGGTCAATTAAATTTTCACTCCGAGACCTCGTATTTCCATCGTTTTAGCATAGAAGCGCATACTACACTTTTTTTGCCTTTATCTCGTTCAAATGCGAGTTTATCGACTACCAAAGTGTTCTAAATTGTCGAAAAATTGTCCTGACCCTTTTTTTTCTCATATCGGAGCCTTCCATAATTGTATGTTGATCGAAATATGAGACCTCGACGCCATTTTGGTTCTGGTCTGGGCGGAGTTAAAAAATAAAAAAAAAATCCAAATTTTGAATGTGTCAGGACAATTCTTAGATGATCACGAGGCATGTGTCAAAGTTTCGGACAGTTTGGTCGAATACCCTTAAAAAAAAGTGCTGTATTAGAAATGATTGATTTGAAGGGGGTTTCACTTCACCTTAAGTACAGATGATTGTTTTGTTTCGATCGCTAAAATTCATTTTTATCTATACAACACAAATTTTGCTATTACCTTATTACTTTACCTAGTCAACGATATTTCACATTATGTTGTTTACTGTGCTTATTTTAGTGATATACACTTAATATGACAGTTCAGCTTCTTGACAAGCTTTATCTAAGGCAATTTTGTTACGAAAACTATTGTTACATCGATCATAGTTTTCAAGCTTAAGTAACTATTTTTTACGGAAATAATTTACTCACCTCGATAGAGGGTCCACAAAAAGTGCGACGATAAGGACAGCGACGATTACGCAGGACAAATAGATTGCAGAGATTTCGTAAATCTCGGAATCTGGTGGCCTGCTGAGAGTTTCGTGAGCTCCGTTTCCGAAAATGCAGAAATTAGCCCCGCAACGTCTGATTTTGTCTTCATTCGTCGTATTACTCCCTCCATCACTTCCAAACTCTCCCTCGCTGAGCACTGAAAATCAGAAATTAAAACAATTATTATTCAAATAATTAATTAGTTTCTAAGTGCATGACATTATGCTGCCGATTTTTAGAAATTTTATATCTGATATTTAATGAACGATTTCATCCTCCATATATAAAGTAAAAGCGGATTTCATTATAGGTGCACTGAAAAGAAATTTTCGTTGAACCACAGAAATATTTCTTTGAATAGTATCATCGAAATATTTCTTCGAATAGTACGATCGAAATATTTTGATAATTCGAAGAACAATTATTTGACTCTAACTCGAATAAATTGGATGCAACATTTCTTCGGAATTATGACAATTTATTGGAATTTATTTTTAATTTACTCCCTTCAACACTTTCAAACTCTCCCTCGCTGAACACTGAAAATCAGAAATTAAAACAATAATTATTCAAATAATTAATTAGTTTCTAAGTGCATGATATTATGCTGCCGTTTTTTAGTAATTTTATATCTGATATTTAATAAACGATTTCATCCTCCATATATAAAGTAAAAGCGGATTTCATTATAGGTACACTGAAAAGAAATTTTCGTTGAACCAAAAAAATATTTCTTTGATTGGTGTCATCGAAATATTTTGATAATTCGAAGAATAATTATTTGACTCTAACTCGAATAAATTGGATACAACATTTCCTCGGAATTATGACAATTTATTGTAATTTATTTTAGTGAAATTATTCTTTGAATTAACAAAGTATTTCTTTGGTTCAATGCAATTTTTTCTTCGTGTAGGTATAGTAAAGATAGACGGTTAATTGAGAGAGCTTCTTCGAAAATTTCATTAAAATTTATGTCTTATAATCGCAAGGCAAATGTAATATGTTGGCTGGAATATATATTTACTAATTGAAAGTGTATAGAAATAATAAGGTTCCGTGAACGATTTGTCGTTTGCGTTTTCTCGATGATTTATTTATATACAAAAGTAACTGTATCATACTATTATGAGATAACAATGTTACTGTAGGATCCATTACTATCTACTGAAAGGAAAATATGACGCTTACCAATAATGCAACAATCAGCAATATTTTCTCCACGGCAGAAAAACATGAAATATAATACTATCACCGCTGCAAGACAACATGGCGATAGGAATAATTCAGTCATTAAAATAATTCGGTCATACAAAGCTCACTCATAACCATCTAATTCTAAAAACAAATCCAATGTTCTGTGATGAATATAACAGCCAAATAACGGTACAACACATTATCTCTGAATGTAAAAAATATTAAACAGCAAGAAAAGGCTTCGGAGTACTCAACGTAATTACCAAGGCCCTCAATGACCCACGGGAAGTTAACAAAATGCTAATGTTCTTAAAAGACATTAACCTCCTACGTGTATTGTAAATCCCGACCATCATTATTTACTCACCTACACAATATATTTAACCCAACGTTAAGTGCTAACAACCAGAGTAGTTAATGCGACGTTAAAGGAAAAAATAAAATATATATATATTTTTTGGAATCAATTGCTCCAAAAATACTTGTGAACGTCTGCGATTCTTCGGTTGTTCATTCGAAACCGATATGCGGAAACGAGTATAGAAATGTTATGCGATATCCACGAGGCATGCGACTGCTCATCCACTTACAATTTATTTCCCTGAAAATATCAAAATTGTCAGACTTGCGTAACGGAGACTTCACGGAAATGCCAGTTTCACAATCTGCATGTGCATGCCTTAAAAGAGTTAAAGCAATGACGTATTTTCACTTCACATCGCTTACGACTTGTTCCTTTAATACTTATAATTAGTAATTCAATTCAGCAAAATAAAAGTCGAAGACCGACGAACAAATGGACTCAAAATTATTACATTTCTTAAAAAATTACTCGATTTTGACAAATATTTAGTAGTTACATCCACAACGTGATTATATTTTTGCATTATATCAAACGTAAAAAAAAAAAAGAAATATGTTACCTTCTAGGGCGTAACAAATAAAAAAACCTTGAATCATCAGTTGAATTGTCTACCGATTCGGTGAAAACCACTTCACGTGTTCTTACCCTAAAGGAAAGAATAGGTGAACGCGTGGCACACCGAAACGAAACAATCGTTTTTTAATGTAATGGAATAGACGGGCGAAAAACATCATTCAACCCTCTCCACAAGAGGCCATTTAATAATCTTCAATTTTAGGACGATTTTCCCTGTAACTTTAGTTATTATCAAATAGGCAAAGAAAAAAGTGATATTATTCTCATAGCAACATCACAATGAGTCTAGATATAAACCTTGTTGCTGTTCTCGCAATAAGGAGGAAATCGTGTCCCTCAAGAGATCTTTTCGAAATCGTCGATTCAGGAGGCTCCTCCGTGCGACTTTTACGCCATTCGGAATTTCCATTGGCTAATCCGCATACGCGATCCACTCGCCGCCTGCTGGCACGACAAACTTTCACCGAATGCTAATATTCGCTGTGCTTATAAATATCGTTTTTTCCTCGTCTTCGCACGTGAGCGATGATGTTAAACAACGACTCTTAAGGTGAAGTGAAACACGTCGAGGAACATGATCGACGTCGATGAAGAAGATTTTTCTAAATGCTTAAGTTGCCGACGTTCGTTTTTATATTGACAGCTGGGTCGAATTATATTGTGTATTGTACCAAATGGCATATTCCACCTGTCGTTTTTGTACAATAATTACAAAGAAATCGAAGTAAAACTCCAGAAATCCTCTGGATTTGTGCCTTCTGGGGCCCTAATTGATTGCGGAAGGACCCCCTGCGCCATCTGTGATTTCCAGGTCAATTAAATTTTCACTCCGAGACCTCGTATTCTCATCGTTTTAGCAAAGAAGAGCACACAACACTTTTTTTGCCTTTGTCCCGTTCAAATGCGAGTTTATCGATTACCAGAATCTTCTAAATTGTCGTAAAATTGTCCTGACCCTTTCGTTTTTCATATCAGAGCCTTCGATAATTGTATATTGATCGAAATATGAGAGCTCGACGCCATTTTGGATCTGGTCTAGAATGAGTTAAAAAATTTGTTGGAAAAATCAAAATTTTGAATGTGTCAGGACAATTCTTAGACGATCCTATTACTAGGGAAAGATGGCAGTAAAGTAAAGTTATTTAGTTGCATCGTTCGGACAAGAAGAAGTAATCGCATTAACTGGAACATTACCGAACTGTTAATTTTCCAAGCAATTCGTTCAAGGTATTAACTCTTGAATTAATATCTATTGACTTGTCATCGAATAGGAGCCGCAATCCTGTACACTGGGAGACATCAATGCCCTCCCACCCTGCACAGGCGATGCCGTATCTGCAGGGTAGGCATTCATGTCCGCCATTGTACCAGGTCGAGAATATTTCTTAATCTACATTTCGTTTCTCCCCCTATCTTATATTTATTAAATTCAATAAATATCATCAGCGTTCGACGTATTTCTCAACTATTTTATCCAACCAGCCCAAATCCAAACTCGATTATGATGTGTGCCCATAATTATGAAAGTGGTCTAAGTCATATATTTTTTGTTTCGAAATTACATTGAATTAATTTCGATTGAAATAATATGGCGTGAAATAACTGATAAACTCATTTTTTTTTTAATTTTGACTTAGACTACTTTCATAATTATGGGCACGTGTATCTATTGGATACGACGTTACTGTCGTTTGTTCTTTACTACTATCGCCATGACCACAAAGCATCGTCACACGTCTATCCGGGACGGTAACAAGGCTGTCAATTTTCCAGATAACTCGTTAGACACGCGAGTGATTGCGGTCGCGCTTATCTCGGAAAATCGTTAACTTATTGGTTACAGTGTATATATTTTAACGGTACGCGACGTTTCCCTGTCAACGTTTCTCTGTCCACTGACAGACCGTCGACGACGTAATCTCCACGAGGTTGTAACATTTCTTTGTTTCATCGCAGTTATAACACTTCATCTTTTATTGTCCCTTAAGGTGAAGTGAAACCCCCTTCAAATCAGTCGATCTGAATACAACACTTTTTTTTAAGGGTATTGGATCAAATTGTCCGAAACTTTGACACATGACTCGTGATCGTCTAAGAATTGTCCTGACACATTAAAAATTTGGTTTTTTCAGAAAAAATTTTTAACTCAGTCCAGACCAGAATCAAAATGGCGTCGAGGTCTCATATTTCGATCAACATACAATTATGGAAGGCTCCGATATGAGAAAAAAAAGGGTCAGGACAATTTTTCGACAATTTAGAACACTCTGGTAGTCGATAAACTCGCATTTGAACGGAATAAAGGCGAAAAAAGTGTAGTATGCGCTTCTATGCTAAAACGATGGAAATACGAGGTCTCGGAGTGAAAATTTAATTGACCTGGAAATCACAGATGGTGCAAGGTGTCCCTCTGCAGCCAATTAGGGCCCCAGAAAGCATGAATCCAGAGGATTTATGGAGTTTTACTTCGATTTCTTTATAATTATTGTACGAGAACGACAGGTGGAATATGCCATTTGGTACAATACCCAATCTAATTCGACACAACTGTTAATATATAAACGAACGTCGGCAACGTAGGTATTTAGAAAAGTCTTCTTTATCGACGTCGATCAAGTTCCTCGACGTGTTTCATTTCACCTTAATGGGAAAATCGCGTAGCGTAAGCCTTACGGAGAGTGGAACTAGATTTCCTAATAGAAGTAACGAACAACCGCAGTGCAATCATCGCAAACAGCCAATACATTCTTTCTGGACCGGCTCGATACGTTAATTTCATAGAGACTACGAATGGGGCCCCCGTAGAGAAGTCTACATTCGATCGTTATACAAGAGAAAGGGTGTCTCTCCGACTAGGAGAAAGATCCCCTAGTAGCACAAAATATTTCTCCTATATTTTCTATATATTTAACGAATATCGTACATTTTGTAAATATTCACCAGGCATGTGAATTATTTGCAAAACGTTTACTTCAGAATATACTTCTATAACGTTTATACAATATTAGCTCCATGGGTTT